ATGAGTTTGAAAAATATATTATTTTTCAGAATCCTCAATGTGATTTACAAGCCCAAGATCGATGTCATAGAATTGGCCAAGTTAAACCGGTTGTTGTTTACCGTTTATGTACTAAAAGCACAGTTGATGAAAAAATATTAGCACATGCTGCCGCTAAGAGAAAATTAGAAAAAATTGTCATTGGGAATGGTAAATTTATGATAGAACATAAGTAACCCATTTTATAAAAGGGTTTTTAGATATAATTTATTTGAAAAAATGTTTTCCTGTATGTTCAATATAATTATATATTTTCAACTGTACTAATTTAATWAACTACATCTGTTTGGAAATCTTATTAATTCATTTTTAATATAATTTAAAATTTTATAAATTGTAGGTACATTTAATAGAAGTACAAAAATTAACTTATCGAATATAAAGGATCTAATGAATTTGTTAGAATCGTCTGATTATGATAAACAAATACAATCAAATGGATTTAGTAAGTAGTTTATCCAGTGGTTGGCCAACTTTTTTCTAATCATAATTAAAACGTTTGTAGTTTTATCCGATGAAGAATTAGACTCACTTTTAGACCGATCTGATATGGTTGAATCAACACCAAGGACAAATCCTTCTCAGTCAGCAAAACATTTTGAAGTATTGACCTAGATGTTTATTATTTTGTTTTTCTGAAAGTAGTTCATAGTTGTTTATTTTAATACAGTTATAGAAAAGAGATTTCATATGTTWAAAAGGTGAATTTTTTGTTTCAAACTTTTTTTTCTTGTCAAATTTTATGYACTTATTGAACTTATTTGTTACAATGTTTTAAAGGTTACTATTTATGTTTCATTTTTTTTTATACATTTCATAATTTATTATATTGAGTTGTTACTAGCCTTTATTTAGCTAAGATTTTTTTATATCAATGCACAAAAATTGATAATATACAACTCAATAAAAATGCTTTAATAACAAAATGTCTTTTCAATTATATTCTTACTTTTAATTATATGATGTGAATTTTTTGAAGTATTGATATCTTATATGGAGCAGATTAAAATGCTTTAAAGATTTCAAAGTTAAGCATTATCCAGATGACATAGAAGAAGATGAAAATAACATGACGTTCAGAAATATTTTATATTTAAATGTACTTGCAGTGCCTGATCTAGAACTCTCAGAGCCAACCCAGGTGTAAAAAAAATATTAGAAGCTTTTAATTTTAAAATGTAATAAAAAAAAGCCGGTGTCGCTTGTGCATTTTTCGTTGTTTGCAGATTTTCTGGCATACAGAGTGTTTCAAATTCGGGTGAGAATAAAGATTTATAGGTACTCAAGTTTGTTTTTAGCTGGATTTTTTCAGACGAATGTCATGATCTAGCATCATTCAGAAATGTTTGGTTTTATGTAGAGAATATCTATCATTATGGTTACTGACACCCTAGCAATGAATCATAGATCATCAACCTATGTGACCCGTAAAATACCATACTGATGAAGGAGGCCGGAACATTTTTTAAAATTATTATTTAAAGGTGTGGAATAAAAAAAAAAAGAGATATAATTGAGGAAGTTCATTGTAATGCGTGGAGAAAGTTCAACATGCGAAAAATTTCTACAATGTACAATTTAACACACCATTGTATAAAAAAAGTATCCCACTATTGCATAATAAAATAATACACTTTCTTAAATCCCTTAATTTATAAAATTGTTGWACAATAGGTACTTAATAATAAATTGCTTATAAACTACATTCAATAGGTAATAATTTATTTTGAATCTTCGAAAAATAGCTACCTAATTATCAAAATATTATAATTATATACTAATTTTAACTAGATGCTTTTTTAGTTACACGTTTAATTTTAGTATTCAATAGTACTAAATAGTATTAACTATAAGATATTAGTAATATATTAAACAATATATGTTGCTCGAAGGGTTTCTGGTTGAAATGAATTAAATTATAATTCATGTATCGTAGGATTTGAAGTATGTACATTTACTGTGACACTTTATAACAAAAGGTATATACCTACCAACGAGAAAACAAAATAAATAAAAAATATTGTTATATTGTGTATTTTATTTTCTGATTGATTTTAAATGTTGAGTGACGAGCTCAGCGAGATCGGTTATGAACCACTGGGTGAAGAACTGTGGGAGAGAGAACAGGAAGAATTATTGCAGTTAGGAATAGAATCTGATAAACACCGGATTCTTCCTGAATCTGAGTCGTATGAAACCGTTATCGATGAGCAAATTGATTATGCTAATGATGAAAAACAAATCAAGCTAGCAATCGAACACCTAGAAAACCTGAGATTAGAATTGCAAGACCTCAGACATCGCAAAATTAGAGTGTTTAATATCCTGACCGAACACATTGAAAAGGGATTGGTGAGTTTTTATCAGGCTTGATGAGAAGGTACGGATAAGTGACAGAAGTTGTACATTTTATTAAGAAGATACACCATKCCCTTAATTTGTTTATTAAAAACCATTTCATATACCAGTTCTTATTTTCTTGATACAATTTTAATACCAATTAAAAGTTTATGTTGCCGATTTTCAAAATAAATACATTTTAATTAGATAGGTAGGTACTAAATATTTAATTAAACTCAAATAATGAAAAATAGACGACTCATTTACAAAGTTATATTTCTAATTATGTTATGGACATTTGACTTCCATAAAAAATACTGTGTACATTATTTTTTGCACTTTTAAATTATAAAGTTTACGTTTAACGGTTACTTGTTATATTATTATTATAGATTTATTATAATTTAATAAACTTAATGATATAAGTATGAGTAAAAATAGATACTTTTTGTAATAATGATTATGGTACATATGTTGTYAAAAGTGCGAATCTGATGTACCGATTAGAAATGGAACAAAAGAGGAAGTAAAGAGACACTATGAAAAGTTATTGATGGAATTCAAAAATAAAAAAGAAGCGACAGTCCATCGAAAACATGAATTAAACGAAAAGTTAATCATAAATACTGAATACTTGGAATCGAAACGCAAAGAATGTGCAGAACTCATTGAAAACCAGTATAACTTAGAATTGAAAACTGCCGTTGGCATGATATTTGAGAAGATACAACAAAAACTCACTCATAACGTAACTCTCATGGTTTTAAATTTGTTTTCTTTTTTAAATCTACAATATAATCACGCATCTAATCAACTAGAATCTTGTATTAAAGTCTATTGTCAGAACTGTGAAGTGAAAATAAACTAAGTAAATTTTACCACATCAATTTTWCTCTCAAACACCAACTTTTGAGGATAAATCTTTCACAAATGCTTAAAAAGTATAGAAAAAGCTTATAGGTTTAATTTTTAACCTATTATTTGTGAGAATTACCAAGGTATAGAAAAACATTAATGTATAGTTAATAGCTTTGAAAATGCACATAGAAATATTATTGCCTTATTTTACAAATATTTAGTAAACGTTACCAAATCTCAGGGATATTTTACCAGAATATTTTGATATCATGTTTTAACTTCATTAAGAGCGAAATATTTTCCAGTAGGAACATACTATATTGGTATGGTAGAACCCAATCAGATTTTTACAGTATTTATTTGTTGAGCCGTTGTGGGACATAAATATCCTCATGGGCTTGGAATGTTTTGGAAAGATAAGTTATAAATACTTCTACCTTTTCAGCATGTGAAATTGCTTACATTATGTCTAAATTTATCAATTGAGATGAAAGAGTATTATATTATAGCACTTAGTTTCGCTTCACAAATCTTAATTTGTTGATTCTGGTTACCCTAAAGTTTAAATGGTCAGTAAAAAGAGAAAGAAGGTGGTTAAATATGAATAAAAGCGGTAGTGGACAAATTAAGTAAAACAGATGAATAAGCAAAATACAAAAATATAAATATAAAATATTATGGTGGTTGGAAATAAATTGCATATTAATGAGGATTGAAACACCAACATGAGCTGTATTATTCGGGTAATTAACTTTTAAGAAGTAATTTACAACTAGGTATGAAGATACGTGAATATTGGGTGAGGTGTGTTTTTTTGATAAAGACAAAACTGATGCGATAAAATAAAAATGTAGGTAGCTATAAAATAAATTTCAAATTAATCAAATCATATTCATTATGTACCCAATTAAACCAACTCACTCAGTCATTCATAGTAGATATATAGTATATACATTTAATTATAAAGTATTAATATAAGTCATTAACAATATTAGCTATTAACATTAGAATATAAAGTATACTCTAGAAATTTAAGTACCCACGAATAATATTTTTAAATTACAAGCATAACTGAAATTGTTATACTTGATTATTTAATATGTAATTTCATCCAAATTTGAACTTAAAATAACTATAAAAAAATCTGTATTTCAATAGTTTTTAGATTTTTTCTAATTACTTCGTTATTAACTATCGTTGTGACAATATACGAGGTTAGGTTAGAAGCCTTGTATTAAATTGTTAAGCTTTTTTACCCAATGAATAAAATTTTATTGTAATTCATAAAAAATACCTAAAAAGAATTACAATTTCATGTGTCTAAGATAATTTGTTTTAGGGCTACACCAATATCTAAAATCAATTTCCTCAAAAATTGATTTTGCGTACAAATTCCTGTTTTTCCTTAATTTTTTTTATTGTTTTTCCTGGTGCTTTTGAAAACTATTGGGAATTTCAAAATTTGACCTCCCCAATGCGCCAACTAGATTCAATTTTACACCGCAAAAGCTAATGAAGTTGAAAATCAAAGCATTATTTTGATAACTTATCCTGTACAGTGTATACTGTACACTGATACAATAAATAATTAAATAAATACAAAATCACACATCATTGTAATTTGTAACACACATAAATATAAATTTATCGCTCCGTTCAGAATCTAAAAAAGGGGATAACCATGTTTTGTGAATCACCGATCACTCTGTATATAATTATTAATTATTATAAATAATATTAATTACAATCACGCACTCCTACATACGTCCAATTTCATATTATCATAGTTAATATGTATCCAAAATTAATTGAACAATTTATCCAATTTATGAACCAGTACACGTTGAGAAGCTGTAATTTTTTTAAATATTTAAAAAGAGGAATAATAAATAATAAT